CTCTGAGGTATAGCACAAGCTATAGGGAGAGCTATATCTGCTTGGATGAGACTTCCAGCTCTGCCATGGACTTCTACCTAAATTTATTCTCTGTAAAGTTAACTACTTTTCCATAGATGCAAGGAGCTTGTTTGAAAAGCAGCATGGACAAACTCTCTGGAAGAGAAAGGTCTCCTTGAGCTGTTTGTGACCGAGTCTTCCCCTTTCTCTAGTGCCTGATACCCATCACATGTGTGTGCTTTATCCCTCTTGCTGTTTCATTTGCCCCAAACTCCAGTTCTCTCAAAGCAGCTACTCAGACTGTTCTTTTTTCTTGGGCTGATGCTACTGGAGTGTGGGTCACTAAACCTGTGTATTAATTATTTGGCAGTACCCTGCGTTCTAAGTGTCTGACTTGTCGTCTATAATGATAGCTGCAAAGAAGGACACTAAAGATTTAGTATCCAATCCCTGGAAGCTGGGCATCTAGTATTTAGACATTCACAGCCTTCTATATGAGCAGAGACTCTTGCTGGCTTACTCAGCAGATATGACTCAGCTTGGACACAGCTTTCCTAAGGAGAAGGTGTTTAAGGTGTTTCTGGTGGTGTTCTACGTCTGGATTCTGCTGTTCCTTGTGAACAGTTGAGAGCTGCTTGGAAACAGGCAGCTCAAAGACACAGTCCATAGTTTTCCATTTTCAGGGTTTTGTGCTGACTTAAACACTTCTGGGAGCTTACTTACATGCCATATTATATGCAGTCTGTTTAATCATATAAATATATTCTGGTTTTCCTTTATTGTTTCAAGCCTTGTGTGGATTCCTCATTCTTTATCTGATTTGCACTTTGGGTTTTGGCCACATCATGACTGTGTGATATGCAGCAATCCTGCATTCTGTTCTTGTTCTTTCAGTGTTGATGCTACAAAAGAAACTAATCGCTTGGGAAGACTGATTAATCACAGCAAATGTGGCAATTGTCAAACAAAGCTTCATGACATTGACGGCGTGCCTCATCTCATACTCATAGCTTCCAGAGACATTAAAGCAGGTGAAGAACTGTTGTACGACTATGGAGACAGAAGCAAAGCTTCCATAGAAGCTCATCCATGGCTGAAACACTAATTCTTCATCTTAGTCTGGCTTTTTTTTTCTGTTTTGGACTGAGTGGGTCCACTGGCTCTACAAGGAGTCAGTGGATGGCTTCCCCCCCCCGTCCTCACTTCCCTCAGCTTTCTTAGTGGACTGCTTATGGTGTTCTGAGCTCCTAAAAGGCTACCTTTTTGCTTTGCAGTATTTAAATGCCTATTACAGTTTTCCAGGCAGGCTTGAATAATTGATCTTAGATTGCCAAACCTTTTTATACCACAAAAGGAAACCCTTCCTAAAATTTGAGTACTTCTGCATAGTGACCGGTGCCACTTGAGCATGCAGTCAAAGACTTCCACAGAAATGTAACCACTTGGGTTGTGCTTCTGCTTTTGCAATGAAATCTTGTGCTCCACTTTGTGGGGTGATGAATTTGGCATTAGCTTTAGGACAGCAGATGTACTTCTGTACTCTGACTCGTACATCCAGTGGCTACACTGCTTGTCAGACTCCTTCTTACAGCCTGGTGCTGACAGGCTTCTCTGAGATGGATGCTACTATTGTTCTCAAATAAGTTGTGATAGGGACCCAGTTCTTCCAGTATCTCATGTTGGCAGTGAAATTTAAATGCACTGGTGCTGAGGGGAAATCCATGGTCAAATTGGCTGCTTTCTTCAGAGAAATGACTCCAAGCCAAAGGAGGATGGATTTTGATAGGCTGGGTTGATACTGAATAGAAGTGTGAAGTTCTGTCTTCACAGTGAGAATCAATGTTTGACATGACTTGTTTTCTACAATTGAAGAAGGTACCTTTTTATAGCTGATGGCTGGTTCTTGGAGGTGTCTTCCAGAGGGTTTTTAAGAAGGAAAAGCTCTCTCCAAAAAATTTTTTATTGCCTTCCTATGCTGATTAGCCACATCAGAAGCTATTTATTTACTGTGAATGCTTGAAGTAGAGCATAGCGCTTCCAAAAATAGGAGTCATCTTCATATGCAGCTTCAAACTGTAATGATGGAGTTGATGCAATGAAGAAAGTAGATTCCTTATTGCCTGGTCCTGTATGTCTGTCAGCATGGTCCCACTGTCTTAAATGGGAGTTGAGTGCTCAGCATCTTGCAGATGTTTGTAACGTTACTGTTGGAGAACCAAATCTGTGATATAGGCGGGCAATACAATGCAGGTCCTTTATGTTAAAGATGAATTCTTACCAGTTGGAATTTTTGCCAAGGCAGGCTTGGCATGTGTGTAGATGAAAATGGCTGTGAGCCATCAGCCACGCTTGCTGCTGGAAGGGGTCAGCAAGGGATCTGTGGCTCTGTTAATGTCTTCTATTCCTCATGTCTTGAAGGCTGCTGCTGTTCCAGCTAATGCCCTCTAGGACAATCTTAGATGCTTGCCTATGTGATAGGTCAGATAGCAACAACATCCTGGTTGTATGCTCCAGCAGCAAGAGAGGTGGCTTAGTGATGTATTTTTTAAATTAAAAACTTGAAGACAATATCTCTGTAAAATAAAGAATATATTTATTATTGATGAAGTGGCTGCTATAGTACCTGTCTCCATTGCAGATTGTTAGCATTTGAAAGAAAGCTGTGAAAATCATTAGCCATTAAATGCTTTATATTATTTACTACTTAATACAAGGTCAGGGCTGGCCTATGTGTGTTCACCATTTCTGAGGAATTAACTGGAGACCTGTTACCTTACATATGAGTTACAGATAAGCTTCCTTGGCACACTCATTTGAGTTGGCACTGACTCTTCCCTGGTCTCGGTCTCTGGTAGCAGAGGCCACAGCAGTGTGTACAGGATCCTCCTGTACTAGAGCACTTCCCTTTAGTCAAAATTGGAATGAAATTTTTTTTCTCTTGATTTTATTTAAGCATTTACCTGTTCTCTATCAGGTTGAATAGCTTAAAACCTCTGTTCTTCCACATCACTTTTGTAAACAAGAAAGGGGGAAGATCTCTCCCTGTTTTATATAATAGGAAAATTGTCTTCTCTGAAATGCTTAACCGGTAATCAAGTAGCACTGCATTGGAAGATGGTAATAAAGCTGATGTTGCACTGCATATGTATCCTTTACTTTTTTAGAAACTGGTATATAGAGATCACATATATATATATGTATATATCAAATACTCCCACTTTTTTTATAAAACACATCTTAAATGGTAAACTGGAAAGAATAATTTCAGCTTTCATTATTGTCTCCTTCCCCTAACTGCAGAGTGGCCTAAGGCTACAGCAGAGTGTTCTGTGCCTCTGTGGGAGGCTGTTACTTTTGCACAGCTCTGTGTAATTTGTGCAGTTTATTACCTGAAGTTGTTTCATTAAGTCTTCATAGAGTGATTGGTGTGTTTGGGGACATAATTCCCCCTCCCCTTTTAATGGAGATCAGAAAGTGCATCCCTGGATAAACCCCAGAAGAGGATGGAGCTCAGAGCATAGGTAAACATCTCTTTTCAGCTTGGGGGTGTATCCTGCCTGGTGCTGATGCATGACTGGGTCTTTTTTCTTTTCTTTCTCCAAGCACAAAGCCTGTGCTAAGGAAATGCAGTAACTTCCTTCCCTGCTCCCATGCTCTAGAAAATACATGACAGGGACACAGCCAAGGCTTATGAGTATTCTGAAGATGGCAAAATGACTTCAGCAGTTGTGTGCCCCAGCTAAACCAGCTTGCTCAGGTCAGACATCTGTCCTATTGCTTTGCTAATGTACAGTTGCTAACAAATTGTTTTTGAAAGTAGTCCACAGTTCTGCTAAGCCACATGCACATTGTGCATCTGAGCAGATGCACAGTGATGTGTCCTATATTTTTCATGCTGCTCATGTATGAGAGGGAATCAAAAGATTTCAGAGCCTACTTTTACTTCTGAAGGGAGTCAGATCATGGTTTGATACCTGTTACTGCCCTTTTTATGTCTGTTCAGACTTGTTTGCTCTGGAAATTCTATCCTTCTAAATGTGGAACCTAATTGGTATCTTTCACATTTCTTTTACTACTCCTCTGTTTGTCCCATATGCTTCACTAGGGATAAATCTCATTACTGGGACTAATACACTGTTTGTGACAGTTGATTGAAAGAACAGAGCTTATGAAAAATACAGCTGTGTACCACAGGGGCCCTTTAGCTGTCAAAAATGGAGTGTTTGGTGCATCTGTTCCAGTTTGAGCATGTCTGCACCTCTGAGAAGACATCAGTGCTTCCTGTGGGCAGAGCATGATGCAGCAGCATTTATTCCCTTACTATGCTCTCTGCTGCTGTCTTGCATCCTGACCCCAAAAATCCACTCCTGCCTGGGCAGGGGTTTTGTTATTGCAGCCCAACTTCATCTTCATTTGGTGAGGTGTGGTGTGACAGGCGCCTGCTGCCTGTGTATTGCCCATCTGATGTAAAGACACACAAGAAAAAGCAGTACTGGGGTTTTCTTCAAGTGGTTCTCTTAGTGTAAGGTAACTTTCTGCATAAGAGCAGTGGAGGCTGCAGCCCAAACGGATTCCTCGTTCCCAGTGCTCCTCTGTGAATGGTGTGTGTCTCCTAACAGTATCTTCCTCCTGTAGGATCAATAGGGCTGAGCGTTTTGGTCCAGAGAAAGGAAAAATAAGTGGTAGAATGGTTTGGGTTGGAAGGGACCTCAAAGCTCATCCACTTCTAAACCCTGCCATGGGCAGGGACACCTTCCACTAGAGCAGGCTGCTCCAAGCCCCATCCAACCTGGCCTTGAACATTGCCAGGGATGGGGTACCCACAGCTTCTCTGGGCACCCTGTGCCTGTGCCTTAGCACCCTCAAAGGGAAGAATTTCTTCTTAATGTGTAACCTAAATCTCCCCTCTGTCAGTTTAAAACCATTCCCCCTTGTCTATCACTATGTGCCCTTGTAAAAAGTCATCACCACAGGCTCTTTTAATAAGAATAAAAACCACCTTTGTATAAACATTTATTTTCTACATGTGTGAAACATCTGGCAGGAATCTAAGAAATACAAAACGTGTCAAACAGTTTCTAAAAAAGCCAAGTAAAATCTGTTCTGACAGAATATTGTACAACGTGATTGTGATGAGATTGCTTATTCTCTACAGTAAGTGATGATTTTTCTTCCAGTCATTAACTCCCCCAACACCCTGGTGGCTCTCAGCAGCTCCAGTTCTGCGCAGGAGTGGTTGAGTTCTTGAGGATGCTCATTTTCCATGTTTAAAAGAGAACCTAAAAAAAAAGAGAAATAAAACTACAACAACAAAAAGGAAACAACAATGTACAATTGGAAAAGGAGGAACAGCCCCTGAGGTGGCTCTGTCAATGTGTTCTGCTATTTTGGGGAACTTTAGGCACACGGCCTGAGCATGTGGATACTCCGTGCGGTTGCCTTGTCCAGTGGGAGCCTCCAGGGCCAGCCAGCATGTTCCCACAGCACAGGCTGTGTGTGCTAGCAGGGGAGGCCAGGGGCACATAGTTTTCCTCTGAAATGCTTATTTTTCCTAGAAAAAAGAAGTGAGGCCCCACTGGCCTGGGTGGAGGCTGCATCCTATGGAGTGCTTTTTACACAGGAAAGGATTTCTCTATCAGATTTTAATTTTGCAGGGAGAGGAGGAGAAAGCGATAAGCAGCCAAGTAGGCTAAAGTTCAGAATTCATCCCTGGATTCACCAAGCATGAAGCTTGCCATATTCTCCCATAAAATAACATGCAGACACAAACTTACAGCCGTTTGATGATTGTCTTCTCCTCGCTGTCCTTGCTGGGGGTAGAGCTGCTGCCCCTGGCTTCTTTTGCCATTTCTTCAGTTTGGTCCTTTCTCTGTTGGATGATCCCACTGGGAAAAGAAGAGCGTTTATTTATTAAGTTTTTGTGGTTTTGTGCATAGTATGGTATTGCATCTAAAACCCTTCACAGGACAGGAGCAGCAGCCTGGCCTATTGTAACGAATTGCTCTTATTTTCCCTAAGTACTGTAACATAATTTTGCTTAGGCTGTGCTTTAATGAGAACACTACAAAGGTAATGAGCTCAGTTCTCCACAGAGGAAGAATGGCAAATATCATGAATATCATCATCAAATATGAACAGGAATGACAGGGAAGTGTAATCACATGTTTGATTTGTACAAAAGCCCAAAGAATAGTAGGGTACAGAGGCAAATGGTGAATTTCTGCATGGGTGGATCTGTAGCACCTTCAGTGCAGCCATGAAAGCTCCCACTATGCAGCAGGGAACAGATGGGAGATTCCCAGCTTCCCTGCAGGACATCTGCCTGTTCTTCTTCCCATCCTACAGAGGAGAAGCAGATTCCGTCATCTTACTCCATTGCTGCTACACTCTGCAAGGTTGTAACCACCTCTTTCAGGCAAAAGCTTCAGTTCTACCAAGAGCTGTCTCCCTGGCTTGGAATGGGGATAGATTTTTACCAGCTGACACACAACACTCTTTTCACAGTGTGCCTTTGCTGTCCTGAGCTGACCTCATTTATCTTGAGAGCTGAGTGGACCAAAGCTTATGCCTGCAGTAGCTGAAGGCTGGAAGTAGCAAAGCAACACTCATCTGGACCTTGGAAGTACAAATACAGGAGAGTATCTAGAAACTGGTGTGACATCAGGCACAGGATGATTCTGGGACAGATTCTCCTCTTAGAGAAATGGGACTATGAGCTGTTTGGTGACTGCAGATCCAGCTTCTACTTAGAGATCATGATTTGAGGTGCAATCCCCAAACATCAGTCATTTTCAATCGTTCTGTGTAAGGACATCAGTTACCTTGTGCTATATACAACTCATTTCCAATATACACAAGCCATTTTAGAACATATAGTTATGCTCTTCCACTGCACAGCTACTCTTTATGGCCATACAGTTATAATGAGGATTTTATGTGCATTTTTAAGGGGGTGATGGTTTTTGGTTTAAGATGTAATCTTGTAAACAGAGATAACCATGTAGAATTACTTGAATCGAAAAGCAGGCCTTTAGGTGCACAGCACTGTGACTTCTATCGCTCAAAACCTGAAACATTCATACCGTTAATGTTTAACTTGGCCTGTTAACAGCTGGGAGGTCAAAGCATGAAGGCATTGCAGTGGGCACACAGGAAAGGCAGGCGGGGGAGCAGTGTGTCGTCATGCTGTGAGAAGTCCTGTTGAGCAGTTTGTAAACTTACTTCTTAGATTTAACTTTAACTTCTTGGCTTAACCTGCCTGTTACAGATAACGCAAAGGGTGGGTTACTGCATCTAACAGGATGTTGCTGAGGCATCTCAACTGAGATCCAATGCACTCAGATATTTTGTGTCTAGATGAAGTAGCTTCTTGCCCCGAAGGGTTGACAATACAGATGAGGAACACAGGATGGGGGAGAGCAGCCTTAGGGGGTGAAGGAATTTGTAGCAAGGTCCTTCTTGCATCCCATCCTCGGGCTCAGACTGATCCACTGATTTGGGTTTCTAGACCAAAACCCTGCTCAAAAAGTCCTTGTTTGGCACAGTTCAGGTACCTCACATAACCCTACGGTGGCAGTCTTAAAACAAAAACCCCACAGTTTATCTTAAATGATGATGAAAGAGCTTAATATTCTTTCCAGATCAATCCATACCCAGTGTAGGAGGAGCAAGGAACAGCAGCTAAGCTAACATCCCCCTTGGCAAGCTGGAAGAGGAAGGAGATTTTAACTAAAGAGATGGAAACCCCCGTGCTCTCTGGTACGTGGCGTTAGACAGGAAGAGTGTGCATGCGACTGCTGTGACTGCGGGGTGAATTCATGTGTGTGAGAACCCAGCTTGTGTGTGGAGTGGGAGTAACTTTTATAGGTTACAGAAGCAGGCTGTGAACTGTGCAGAGTAAGAGAGACTTGATTTTCAAAGTATGATGCATAGAGACTTCATTTCCCTGTTTTCCTTTACTCATTTGTAGGGTTTTAGGAGCACAGATGTTTATCACATCTGGACAGTGCCCAGCCCAATCTAAGTGCTCACACCTGCAATATTCTGATTTTATAAGCTTATAAGAATTGTTATTAGTTCTTTGCTGACCTCTTATAGCACTGTAGCTCCTCTTGCACCACCAGAAGCTGAGCTTTCAGCTGGTTACGCTCCTGCAGCACATCTCGCAGCTCCTGCAGTGTGAACCGGGGGCGATTGGGGTCTGTGAGGTCTATGACCATTTTATCTGGTCCAAGGCTGAGCTGTAAAACAAACGGTGGTGGTCATCACCTTGTGACCTGTCAAACCCAAGGCACTCATAGAGTAAAATCTCTTAATTTTATGAGTATTTAGTAATTCTTAGAACTAGTAGGGTTTCATCAGAATCCTGATTTTTCCCAAGCAATTAATTAGAGCTTTTCCTACTATTTTTGTATTCCCTTGGTGACCGCATTTCCCAGCCAGTACAGGGCCTGACTGTGACGAGCTCCAACCACCACTAAAAGCAAAGTCTCTGTCCCAAAGAATTTGCAATCTACTTTGCCTAGAAGCTGCTTTTATCTGCTCTTCTGATGACCAGAAAGGCTGAGCAATCTGTCTAGTATCACAGCAAAACTCTGTGGCAGAGAGAGGTAAGAACTGAATTCGCCTTTCCTCATTTAAGACCTTTGTGGCAATGGCTTTTTGGGTCACAGACGCCAGTTTCTCTTTCAGAGAAACAAAGCTTTAGTGTTTGCACCTATGGCAGGCTGGTTTTATGGGACCAGTGCTGTGTGAGAGCTGAGCAACGGTGGATTTGTGTGCTGAAAACCTGTCTGTATGTGTGAACTTCACTAGCACAGCACCAAGCGGTTAGTCACAAACGTGAAACAGAAGTGAGGGATCCACAGTGCTGTGCCTTGCCACAGCCCTGAAGATCTCTGATCAGGAAACGGCTTCAAGACCTTCTAGAAAGACCAGAATTGAACTTTGAGACTTGTTCTGCTGTGGTAAAGAGCCTGGCAGTTACGGCAGCAGTACTGTCTGACCCATCTGGTGTCAGGATGGGTTTCAGGACGTGCATGTGGCCGAGGGGACAGACCACGACCGTGTTGGGGCACCTCGAAGCTGCAGCGGCAGGGCCAAGGCGCCGGTCCCTGCAGTGCAGCATGGTGTGTGTTGCACGGTGGGCACCCACCTGCGGGGCGCTCCCCCGGTCCGCCCCTCGCCGCAGCTCCTCCAGCTCCCGCCGCAGGCTGTCCCGCTCCAGGCGCAGCTGCTCCTCGGCGAGGCTGCTCTCGCTCACCAGCGCTTCCAGCATCTCCAGCACCCTCACGATCCTGAACTGCAGCCGGGCCAGGGCGGCGGGCACCCGCGGGCCGGTGCTGAGCTGCAGCAGGTCGCGGCCCACCACGGAGGAGATGTCATAGACATCGCCGGCAGTCAGCTCGAACGGGCTCTTCTCCAGAGCCCTCTCCGGGCCGATGTCCTCCTCCTCCTCCTCCTCCTGCAGCTCCTCCTCCCGGCCCTGCTGCATGCCCGGCCGCTAACCTCCTCCCCGGTGCTCGGCCGGGCCGGGCCGGGCGCTGCTGCCGCCGGGCCCCGCGGGCAGAGCGGCCCCTCCCGCCGGCGGCGGTTTCCATGGAGGAGGCCGCGGCTCGGCCGCGCTTCCCGCCCTGCCCCTTCCCTTCCCGCCCTGCCCCTTCCCCTCAGCAGACACCGCCTGCTCGCCCGCCTTCCGCCGCCGGTGGCTTCGGAGTCCTCGCTCTGCACCGGGGTGGGCACCGAACCGAGCTGGGCGGGGAGGGAGGGAGGTGAACGCACCGGGGGTTCCTTAACGCCACATTCGGCAGGCGCCGTGGCGGAGCGGCTCCTGGGCGCGGGGCCGGGGGATGGCGGCGGCGCCGCTCCGGGGACGGGGGTAAATGAGCAGCGGGGGGAGCCGGCTCCGCTCTGCCCGGCCTCTGACCACGGCAGCCGGGCGAGGAGACCGCGGGTTCCTTCAGCGGGGTACGGGGCAGAGCCCGCAGGTGAAGGCCGGAGCGGCGGGTCCCCTCAGCCTGAGGCGGATCCAGGCTCTCCGGCATGTTGATTGAGGTGAAGTCAAACCAGCGCCGCTGCTGTTCTGTTTGAGTTGGTCCCGCTTTTCGGGAGTTTGGGATGAAAATACCGGTGAGTCTGTATTTTTATATATTTTGTGTGGTTTCCCCCACTAGACGATGAACGACTGGGCGCCCATCGCAAAGGAGTATGACCCACTCAAAGCCGGGAGCATTGATGGAACAGATGAGGAGCCCCACGACCGTGCCATATGGAGGGCTATGCTGGCACGCTATGTACCCAACAAGGGAGTTACAGGAGACCCTCACCTCACCCTGTTTGTAGCAAGGCTCAATCTTCAGACAACAGAAGAGAAGTTAAAGGAGGTGTTTTCCCGCTATGGAGACGTCAGAAAGCTCCGTCTGGTTCGAGACCTGGTCACGGGGTTTTCCAAAGGATATGCATTTATTGAGTACAAAGAGGAGCGAGCCCTCATGAAGGCCCACAGAGACGCCAACAGGCTGGTTATCGATCAGCATGAGATCTTTGTGGACTTTGAACTGGAAAGAACTCTCAAAGGATGGATTCCTCGGAGGCTTGGAGGTGGTTTTGGAGGCAAGAAAGAATCTGGGCAGCTCCGGTTCGGAGGACGGGACAGACCTTTCCGAAAGCCCATCAATTTGCCAAACATGAAAAGTGATTTCTATGGAGAAGGATCAGCAGAGAAAAGAAATTGGTCTCGTGAGGGATCAAGGGACTGGAGAACAAGGGACCGAGACCATGACAGGAGCAGAGACAAGCGGTGGCCAGAAAGGGAGCGGTCGTGGACCTGGGGTGAAAGCGAGAGGGACTCCAAAGAGGAGAGGAACAGAGGGAGGGAGAGGAAGGACAGAGACAGGAAGGACAGGGATAGAGACCGGAGCAGGGAAAGAGATTCCAAGAAGCAAAGAGATGATGACAAGCACCGGTAGGTGACAGTGCCTTGGCACTGGGCTGTGTTACCTGCTCTTACATCCACAGGGTTCCAGCTGCAGGGGCTGTGAGTGGTGTTCCCAGACTCCCCTGCTAGAAGCTCTCTATAGTTTGGCTGCTGATGCAGTTAAGGTATGTGTTGAATTGTTCTTCAGAGGAAATAAACTTTTATAGTCATATTTTTGAACTGGTGAATGCTGTCAGAAAGGCCCCACATGTGTGGGCATCCCTCTGAAACTGAGTGCACACCCCAGCTGATACCCATCTGGCTGCCTTGTTAGGGTTCAGGAGAGAGCTCCCTGTTTAAGTATTTATGTGCCAGATGTCCACAGTCATTCAGTGAGACATGCTCCTGATGAAACAGTCACTTGTTGGAGAAACAGTAATGGAACAGCAGCAAACTCAGCTTCTGAGAAATGTGCCCCAAACCAGAAGCTGAGAAGTGATGTTATTTTCTTGAGCACACGTGAGATCTTGAGTAGTTCTATGTGCTTAACTAGATCTGCAAAGTGAGGGAGAAGCACATAACAAGAAATGTGGTTTTTTTTTGTATCATGGGAGAATGCACTTCCTTTGATTAGAGGAATGTACTCTGCAGAGGAATGTGCACTGCAGAGCAATGAGCAGATCAGGTCTGCACTCTTCTCACTGCGAGTGGTTTCCTGCCTGCGCAGGGTTTAAATGCTGCTCAGGAAGTGGGGCTGGCTGCTGCCTGTAGTGGAACTGGGGAAGCAGAGGGCAAAGCACCTCCTTTTTCAGAGCCTCTGTTTGTACAGAGACACCCATCTTCCACTGAGAAGCGCACGGTGCATTCCAGTAAAGGTGTTCTTTGTCATCATGAGCCATTCCTAAATATTTGCTAATGTATTTTAAACTGTATTTTTTTTGGTCAGCCTTTGAATGACCATGTCCTAAACCTCTTCTAAACCTTGCCCAGTTTGAGGCTTTATTTCCACAAAGAGTTGGATGAGCCTTTTCAGGGGAGGGAAAACAAACCCATATATTGCATCCCCAAGGAGAGATGATACTAACTTCCCACAAGAAAAAGGATTCAGGTGTTGCAGAAATTCTCAGTTTTTCAGAAATATTTATTAAACTGTTAAAATGATTTACTGCCCAACCAAAAAAAACAAAAGCAAAAAACAACCCAAAAAAGTCAGTGATCCTGCACGCTGCAGATGGGATATTGCTGCACCCCTCACCCGACAGGTCCTGGCCCCTCCTCTAAAAGCAGATTTTACTTGAGAAACAATATATAGCAGAGCCTGAAATCTTTACATCCTCTTCCCTACCTGCCATCCTTTCTGATGGCACTCAGAAAGTGTGTGAACTCAGCATTTCAAACAGAGGATGAGGAGTGAAGTGGTTAACAGCTGATTTTGATTCTGAGGTACCAGGCTAGAGATGAGTGGGGGAAGGTCACACTGCTCAGTGCTGCTGTTGGAACCTGGCTGCAGGTTTGAGGTGGCAGCAGTGTTGTGGTGTATGGGACGAGCTTTACGTGCAGGAGGCCAGGAGCTATCCTGTGTAATGCACAGCTGAGGTGCTGGGACATCAGTTCAGTCTGTGTGTTTCTGTTACCCCAGCTCATTGCTCTCAGCTGATTGCAGAAACAATGTGCTTATTCAGGCCATGTGTCTGCTGCATTCTTGCATTGTTTCTGATTACTGCATCTATTCTAAATGTGCCGAACAACTGTAAACTATGCTAGGGAGAGGCTTGATGGGAATCATTCAGTATTTAACTGCCTGATATAACTGTATTTATTTTTTTCTCTAATATGGAAGTGAAATCGAGATCTGAGCAATAGAAGGTATTCCCCCCACTTAAGAACTGCTTTTCACACAAGGGAGGAAGTGCTGCTGTTTTATGGATACATCTTCTGCAAGCATAAAACTTAAGATATGTTACCAAAACATAACCAGTCAAAACCTTATCTGCCTAATCCTAATGCTACCAACACTGTTTCAGATGCAGATGTGTTTCATATTAAGACCACACATCCTCTGCCATACCAGTGTGGCACAGGAGACATTTCACCTAAACACAGGGAAGGTCTATGTTCAAAATGGAGCAGGGTTACAGTCAGGAGTGAAGCAGCATCCAGCCCACCCTTGCAAAGCATGGTTTCCTGGCACAGTTTCACTCCAGATGGGCTCACACACACTGAAGAATCCAGAGTCCTGGATCACACTGTATTAAAAACAAGTGGCATGTGCTAAACCCTTGTCTCACTGTCACCTAAGAGACCTTTGGGACTGCCTCCTACGTTCAGTACCTGGAGTAGTTGGAGCTTTACTCCAGCCTGAGCATTGTCTCCTGTTGTTAGTGCCACTCCTGAGAACAGGCTCTTTACAGAGCAGATGTAGTTGCTGGGGGTGAAGCCCCCTACACTAAGCTACATGTGCAGAAGTTGCCTACAGCCAGCTCCTCACCAGCAGCACGTGCTCCAGCATACAGCCAAGGGCACAGAATGACCCCAGCACCTCTCATACACAGCCATGGATGTGCTCACCCTCTCCTGCCTGGTTGGGTGCCTTCATGGAGCGTGGTGCAGAGGCAGGGTGAGAGCTGACACCCAGCTGTACTGACAGTTACACCACACGGGGCTCTAGTGTCATGGTTTTTCTAAGTACAACCTCAGTGAGCCTCAAAGGTCCCACAAGCTCATTTGCAAAGCGGATCTAAATCCCACCTCCCGGCAGTTCAGCTGTGCTGGGATTTTACTGGCAAGTTAAGGCCCTATAACCACAGGTTACCCAGACATCAGCCACCACCAGCAGAGCAGCCTGCACATACAGAAGTAGTGTTGAGATCAGTTAGAGAAAGCATTTTGAGCTGAGGTCATGTCTTAAGTCAGTTAAAATAGCTCATGTCAGCTTGCTGAGGGTGTCTTTTACTCTCAAGTTAGGCAATCTTATCTACATAGAGAAGTGACGTGTGACTTTATTAAAAACCTGTCTGTGGGAAAGAGATCTAATTCCTTGACAGCAGCTGCCTGCTGCTCTAGGGGGAAGTCCCTCGTAAGAAGGAAAGAATTCAAGTGTTTGAATTCCTCCTTATAAGCAACTTGTTTTCCATTACCACTGCAGACCTCATGACAAAACACAAGGCACGCTCACCTCCTACATCAGTTTCTTCATGCTTTAGGCACTATAAGCAGCAGGGAAATGTACACGCACTGTCCCTCTCAGGGCTACTCCAGTTTATCTGTTTGTGTTGGGTGGATTTCCAAGCGGCTCCTTTGCAGAATGCAGATGTCAGCTGAACGTGACAGGACACAGCAGCGCCGTGACCTGCTGTGGAGCGGCAGCCGTGTGTCCCTCTTGAAAAGGTTCTTGCCAAAAGAAAAAGCAAACAACCAATAGTGTTAACAACCAGGGTAAAAGAGTCTTTGCCACTAGATATTGTACACTGCAAACAACCTCTAATAATGGCACAGGTCCTTTTTTGGTTTAAAGAAGCTTGTGTTACTGTAGTTAATGCATGACCAAGACCATAGACTTGTTATTCAGCACAAAACAAGTCGTCTAGAAGCTTCGGTGTCCCAGGGCATCAGCGACTGTTCACTACAAAGCTTGGATTCTGTTTCCAGCAAACAGTCACTATGCAAACAGTGAGGAGTCACTCTTGAAGAGTCCATCTCAAACACGCTGAGGTGCACAAGGCAAATGAAAGTGATGAGCTGCCAAATTTTGGTTACAGAAGCTTCTTGTTACTGGAGTGTTGAGATCTACTGTGGTAAACAGAACACCTCAAGGCTTTAGTCACAGGTGCTGCAGGGCTTCTTGTCCTTGCTCGGTGTAGGAGTCATCTTTATGTGAATTTGACCATTCTCCAAAAGTATCCTGGAAGTGGACATTTTTCTGTGCTGCCTGCATGCGTTTCTTATCCCGATAGAAGAAACTAAACCTTCCAGGGAGGGAGGGGAGGGAAAAGAAAGAACACCATTTACAGTCTTGAAACCACTTCAAACACCCGCCCCGATACACAGCACAACAAAACAGAGCAAAGAATCTGTTTGCATCGGCAAAACTCAAGGCAGTGAAGCCTGATGGGGTGCATGTCAGAATGTTATTAGAGATGAAGTCATTGCAGTCTCAAGCAGTTTGGCTATGGAAGCTTCAAATAAGCTCTAAATGCTGTTGACTCTACAAGGTGCAGGTATCATTTTCGATGTATATTCCCCCTTCCCCAGCCCCAAGGTAAAGAAGCGACACGATACATGTTAGTTTCTTGGCATAAAGAAAGTGGTATCTTTGGCATTAAATCTGGATAATTTACCAGACAGCAGAAATAGATCGTGTTTTTAAGGGTGTCAGCAGGGAAGTTCATAAGATAAGAAAATACAGCCTCCACTTTTTGTTTCCAAGTGTACAGAATCTGATACGTAGACTTGGTTCCTGCAAACCCAAATGAGTAAATGCATGTGTGCACACCAGAGCTTGCAGGATGAAGGCTCTAACCCAATGCACACGAGTGTGCACGTCATTTCCTGTCACACAGCTTGGGTGCTCTAAGAGAATGACGTACATGAACCAACAGCCATTTAATACAACAACAAACTGCCAGCTGACAACACAGCTAAGAAAATACAGCCCCAAACTCCTTAGTATCAGTTTATTTGTAAAGGATGAAGTTACTTGACCAGGCAAATTCAGTGTTTGTCATGGGGTCAGTACAAGAGGTGTTAGTGTGGTGTTTACATCAGCTGAGAAATGCAGAAGTTGTGGTCCCAGCTAGCAGAGGTTTGAAGTGGCTGCAGACCCATTGGGTTTAACAGGGCACTTAAGGAGGTAAATATTGGTTGGGTTGCACAATACCCAGCAAAATGCAGTTGTGAATGACACAGAAACTGCTAAATGCCTTTGCAGTAAGAGACTATGCAAATACAAACACAACTTTGATAGGCTATTAAGATGGCCCCAACCTCAGCATCCTTCCTGCACACCCCAAGCCTCCCCTCAAGTATCATGACCTGACCATCCAAACCACCTCATGTGGACCAGGGAGTTCTGCCTTCAATGTCTCTAGGCATAGAGGAGGCTGTATTTGGGTGTCAGGTGAGGTTTAAGGCAGCTTTCCTGAAAAAATACCCTATCACACATGCAGGGAAGCATGGCAATATCAAGAATATTAAGAATAAATTTTTTTTTACTAGAAAGCAATACAAAAAGCT